GAGAGAGAGAGAGAGAGGTTGTATTGTAGAGACCAAAATCAACCTTCCAACTAGTGGCGATGACTATCTCTTTCCTTTGTCTTTTAGCAATAAAAGGGGAAAAAAAAGTGGATTGCTTTTTCACAAAGAGATGGCTTTACAGAGTATGGAAAAGTTTGTCCAAAGTGTAAAATATAAAAAGCATATATTATAATGGAAGTTTAGAAATATGCATGGGCCGATTATTTGGAGCGTTTCGTTGTTCTTCGTTCGTTTTAAATTGTGTGTGATTTAAGGATTTGCTCTTTGTAATATTGATATATAGGATACCACAAAATTCCGATTATGTGAAAAAACAATTGTAGTTTTATTTCCGGATATATTTGTTCCATAAATAATCGTTTCCAAACTATATTCAAACACAACTCTATATATATATATATATATATATATACTGATCAAGTTTTGAAATAAACTTGCACCGAAGTGTGATAAGAGAGTGCCATTATGATAATTCACGGTTTGCAACGTGTAATTTCATAAGCTTTATAGATATCACGGTCTATCCTCTTTGGAAGAATGTAGAATTCTACGTCAGCATGAAAGCATATTCTTAAATTTCTAATGGCGTGATTCTCGTTAAAGCTATAATAGCTACTTATATAATACAAATGTACGTAAGAGAACATGTCATATGAGTTGTTATTCATACGCTCCGCGCGCGCCCGCACACATATAAATATATATATAGATATATAAATTAGAAAATTATATTAAGATGTATATTTTAGTATGATTGAATATCGTAATTAATAGGGATTTTGTTTTTTTTTTTCCTTTCATGAAAATAAGGATGCGATCGAACGAGATGAAAAGCTTCCACCAATACAAACAGCGAATCCATGTCGCTTCAATATTTATTTAATTTATCATAAAAATAAGCAAAAACAGAAAAGTCAAAAGGTGAGTGGGATATGATTTTATGCGGATTATTTAAATCGAAATTTCTCATATTCTTATAAGCAATTAAGGTTTTGACATTCCAAGTGCTAGCCATTTGATTCCTCTAAGCATAAGTTCTCTTCCAAATTGTCAAATATATAATAATAAAATGAGTATCCTCAAGTGTGTTAGGTCAATCGCATTGTTCGCTTATACATTTAAAACATTCGTCCTGCTTATATCATAACTAATCATAATATTTACCGCTAAACATGTTTATAAAAAAATATATATATTTACCGCTAAACATTTTCATAATCTCTATGATTTTATTTGGATATGCACAAGAAAAACATTTTCATAATTTCATGCCTCATCTTATACAAGGAAAACTTTCTTTGATGACGGATTTCATTTCTCGTTCAAGATTTTAATCGACTAACATTTGAGCCGAACCATGACTAAATCCATTGTACATTGATTGGAACTCAATTGATACATGCAAGTAAAAACAAATTATATAATTTTTCATCTAAGAGATATTTCTTTTTTGTATCTATATCATTTTAAAAATTAAAAATTGATAATTCAATTTTTTCGTAATATATCTCAGTTTGTATTTTGTAATGTGTGCCTACATCGCGAGTCTCTGTCTCGTGTAGAAGGTTCAATATGAATCTTGGATAAAGAGAGAGGGTTTGAAGGGTGGCTTAGTAATTTGAGGGAGGTTGTTATTTTTCGTTAAAATCTTAGACGTTGTGAGCTTGGATATATTTCAGAGCATCGTATTCTTTAGCATAGTTAGTTCATCCTCTTCTTCTTCAGATTAGGGTTGTTTCTTTTGCGATTCTCTCTGGGATTTTGGGTTGTATGCGTGTATTGTGATCTCAATCGAGTATTAGTGGATTGCCAAGTTTCTTGGTCGAGACGTTGGATCTTTACAATGATCCAAACTCGTTAAAGGCTGCTGTTGTTTCGTTTGTTGTTCAATTTCAAAGAAGCTCAAGCAGATTCCAGATTGAGTTAGTACATATTTTAGCACATTTGGATATCCATTTGGATTGCGGTAAAAGTACTATAATCTAATCTGGATTGATTCGGTTGGTTCAAATAGTCAGACGAATAAGATGCAAAAATATGTTTACATATTAAAATGCACAAAGCAGATGAGCGGTACCGAAAATAATATTGATAAAAAAAATACTATAGTCCATTTAATTTTCTAAAAATGTTGAAGAAATCCAATTGACGAGACGGTCCACATGATGAGGAATACGCTTGTAAGTAGTGGATATAATTAGTAAATATATACTTTTAGCGCTTTCCATAAAGCTAAGAGTACAAACAAAAAGGTTTCAAGGTCCAAAGCAGATGTCGTTAATTGCCTACTTGCGTTTGATATATTAATTTACAAATAGGCAAAACATTACATTTGAAAAAGATAAATTCCATATTATTGGAGTTATCTCACTGCAATATGAGACAATTTTCTACATATACAACTCATACGTTAAAAAAACATAGTTAATTCCATATAAATGTGTTAGAATTCATATTCTTCTACTCATTGGTTAATTGGATCATAAGATTTAGATTATTCACCACCTTCGTCAAAGTTTAGTAAATGTAAAACTAACTATACTTTATTTTTGATGTTGATGTTGAGTGTTCGATTCCTGACCGGTGGAGAGCGAGGTAATTTCTAGATTTATATGATCCATATACAAAGACTGCTCCCGGATCGGAGGTTTACCTAGTCAGCGCGTCCGAAAGGTAGCAGGTAGGAGTACTCCGTTATATAAAAAAAACATGCATACATGTCTCTGTAAACTATATTATTAGATAAAATGACAAGTTTATTAAGATTTTTAGAATAGTTATTTTGAAACAATTTAATTATATTATTACCAAAAATAAAAAAATTTGAATTAAAAAATAAAATAAGTATAAAATAATAAAAAAATATCCACAAATTATATAGATTCATATTAATCTTATTTTATCTAATACATATTGTAGTTCATATTCTATTATCCATGTTGGTGTAAATGTGAATCACCCTCAAACTTTTTAATACTCTGTAAGTCCAATCAGTCTCTTATGGGAACAAGTATGTGTTTATTAATCTATAAATTTTAGTTATTGATAACATTCTCGGTTGAACATCGCTTTACTTTAAAAATCTTCCATGTTGCAAGGGTAATGCAGCGCCATAATAAACAAAATAAAAGGGGGCAACATAACAAACAAATAAAAAGAGGCAACATTAATATACAGAATCAACCACAACTTAGAGGGCATCATATATCTACATAGACACACATATACACATACATATATACATATATATACGTATACATAGAGAGAGAGAGAGATATTAGATAACAAGAGGTGCAAGTGGTGACCATGGGTGTGCCTAACATTTTGTGAGCGCTAAGAAGTTCACAATTTCATTTTGGTTGTCAAAGGCATAGTGAGCACTAGGGTGATGACCATGATGGTTTGCATGCGCATGCTTCATAGAATAGAATGTCATGTTTGCATAGGTATCATACACACATGGAGAAGGAAAGCCAAATAGTCGAATTGGATGATTCTTACAAAAGCAATGGATAAATAGAACCAAAATAGTATAAGTAGAAAGAGATTTTGATTGTGGATTGAGTGGCATCAATTACTGGATTGTTATGATAATAATGATAATAAACATGCGTCATACATTTCATGTCATGCTTGCATGACCATCATATGCACACAGCAACAAGCATACGTACATGCATGCACATAGAGAGAGAATACCAGACAAGGGTCGAAGTCAGAAGTTCATACCTCATAGGCATCCTATATTATATATATATATATATAATCTACAGATATAGGCACACAAACACACACACACAGACACAAATATATTATATATATACACACACACGACTCGGATACTTGTATAAAAGGGAGATAAACGGGCTAATAAGTTCCGTTATGGGTTGTTAAGACAAAAGAGAAAATGACAGATGAAGATCGTTTATTGCCAATAGCCAATGTGGGGAGACTAATGAAGCAACTTCTACCAGCAAATGCAAAAATCTCAAAAGAAGCAAAGCTAACAATGCAAGAATGTGCAACTGAGTTCATAAGCTTTGTTACCTGTGAGGCCTCTGACAAGTGTCACAAGGAGAATCGGAAGACGGTGAATGGAGACGACATCTGTTGGGCACTTAGTACTCTCGGCCTCGACAACTATGCCGATGCCATGGGAAGGTATCTGCATAATTACCGAGAAGCTGAACGAGAGCGAGCCGAACAAAGCAGAGTTAATGAAGACATCAGGAGAGATGAAGAGGAAGAACCAAACAGTAGAAGTGAGCTGCAGAATCAGCAGATAGAGGGCAGCTCATCACACACACAAGCGGCGTGAATAATGGTGAAATTAATCTGTAAGCTGGTTTCATAATATTATTACGAGACCGAGAAAAACGAGTAGAGAAGCAAGGATGACAGTAAACAGCATCTTCATAGTCAGGGTATTATAATGTTATTACCACATGTATATGTATGTATGTGAGTGACGGGCATAATTTCCAACAGAATCTAAAAGAGATCCGGAGGGTTTTTTCTCTTGGTTTTCACTTTCCTTACTTATCTTCTTCAAGGAAGAAAGGAATTTCTTTCTTCATTTTTTTTGTACCTTACAAGATGTTTATAGTTGGATTCTTTGGGTACTAACCGGTTGAAGCTCCCAACTTTTGCAACTAGATAAGAAAATCGTATAATACTACTCCCGGATACATTATCCCTGTGTTCTTTCAATCATTTTATTCGAGGTTATAGCAAAACTCAGTCTAGTTCAGATTAAGCAGAAACAAAAGGTGGCCATATGTGTAGATTATGCTAACCAGGATACTTGTATGTCTCTGCATCAGTCTATCTCAGTTGTTTTATGAGTAAAGTCCGCTACATGTCTTCTGCTGCTGCACCTAATCTATACCGAAAAAGAAAGACGGGCTTTCAGTAGATGAGATTTACAATGCAATTCTTCTTACCATGTAGAAAGAGTCTAACATTGAACTTGTATCTAGGTCAGTCCAAGCACAGATACGTTCGAATATCGACAAAATACAGCAGAAAATATCAAGTACATAGTAGTCTACAGTCAAGTTTTTCAATATGGCTCCACCAATAAGAATTTGGGTACATTCTCCAGAGTTAAAGTCATTTGAGTTCTTGGGAAGACCATTTAAAGTTCACATGGACAAGAACGTTCCAAGGTTTAGTCAACATGAAAGTTAGTTGATATAGACAAATGAGGTGTCAAAAATCCTAACCAAAGTGCATTTTTCCTCTTTACAAGTGCAACCAATGGCATAAGAGGTTTTTACTCAGAAACAGCGAAGCCCTATCTCACGACGTGTTAAACCAGTCAAGTACTAGTTTTTCCGGTGAAGGGAACAGTGAAAAAGGGTCTAGGGTTGGAATATACTTACTTGGTTCTGGGTTCAAAAACCCTAGTGTCTAGGGACCACATCATTCTGGGTTTCCACAAAGATATAACCCTAAAAATATAAATTTCAAGAAATTAAATATTTAGGCATGCGTACTTTCTAGTTATCTGCAAATGGGATGATTTAAAATCTTCAAACAATATAATTTTAGCAAGTCTGTCAGAGTAGATGCAACTGTAGTTTATCTGAACTTCATGGGACCACTTCTCAACTATGCTGTGTTATGTCTAATGAACCATGAAGAGCAAATCACATAAGGAGTATGGGGAAGGCTTACCACTAAGATTCGTTTCCTCATTGAAGAAGAAATAGCAATGCAAATGAGATTAGTACAAGAGACAAAAGCTGATAACTCACACATCAAGACCTTTTTTTATGCATAAACACACCAATGTAGTAATATTCCATAGTACCTTTTCTTTTAAAACTTCACATTACCTCAAAACCAATGTGGTAATATGCAATGTTTTACAGGATATGGACAACTTCACGAACCTCAAAACCTACAAGACTAACCTTACCGATGTCGTATCTGTCATGTGTGTCGGGAATGATTCTAGGGATAAATGTTGCTTCTGTTGGTTCCGACCAGGGAATCACGGCGTTGAGCTTCATAACTACAGCTAGCTGCCCACTGCAAAGGCAGGCATCGTTGCCTCGAGAACCATGAAGAACAATAATTTAAGGTAACCACATGTACAGAGCACATCTGAGATTCTGATGTACTCATTCGGAAGGACAAAGTGCAAAATGATTATGACAAGTGCATGTGAAATAAGACAGATTGGCACAAAGATGGGCATACGGTTTTTCATGCTGCCGCGTGAACAGTGACAGGCTAACAAAGGGCATCGATCTTCCAAAAACATGTATTGTACCTCTCATGGTCCAGGAAAACAATAAGTGCATCAAATAACCTTTCCAATGTATTGCAATCATGAAGGAGATGCATGTACGTGAAAGTCCATCCAAGAGAAAAAAAAAACAGGAGTCGCTGTCACAAGAATACAAGACGATAAATGTTACAAAAATTACCCAGTGTCCTAACTAACGGGTTGAATATAAACTTGCAGTTTATTGAAAATGGCAGAATAGAGGTAAGAATGGAGCAGATTCTTTGTTTCTAAGTAAGTTGAACATCCATGATCCTCTACAGGATACAGTTGATAATAGCCAAAGTAAAACATGCAAAACCCACAGATCGTTCAACAAAGGGAATCCGTTCAGAAATGTATAGCAGAATACAACCATATATATATATATAGAAGGCAAGAAGGTGAAACAACGTAAAAGCAAATATCGTAGTATTAACGAAGAAAGAAAAATCAAAATGATTCCTCGTAATATTAATAGACTTGGCAAAACCTAGAATAACAAAAAACACGTCCAGAAAAAGATAATTGGATTGAAGAAAAAAAATCAAGTACTCCGGACGACCAAAGCATCTACAAATCCCCAACCATCATCTAAATCAGGTCCCACCCAGTAGCCAGTTATAGTCGTTTGAGTACAAGAACTTCCAACTAAATGACAGGGAATAATTCTCGCAGACATATTCAAAGGTCCAACTAAATCATTATGACAGCCATGACCTGCAGGGAACTTGCCTTTGGAGGAGCAGTACAGGTTGTGAAAGCACATAACTGCAGGATAGAAAACAAATGAGATTCATATACAATACCTCTATCGACTTTACTACAAATTTCCAACAATGGTAAGAGAAAGTATCAATAAGTTCAAAGACTATTCAGAGAGAAAAGAAGAGAACCTCTGTAGCAGGTTTTTCGGATAGAGAGCCTGCCGAGAGCTACTTCCCTTTGACGTCCTTCCTAATTAGAAATCCAAAATAATGGTGATTAGTCTTGAGTACCACAAACGAAAACAAAAAATTCCAGAAGAGATAGACCATAATGCTCCTCAAGATATAAGGATAAACATCTAAACTTCAGATTTTCTCTCTTGATATCGATCAAAACCTCGTTTACAGAACACTGAAAATGGGTCTTATGGGTCTTTTCTGTCACAGTGGAAGCGCAAATGATTCTGAATCAGAGCCAAAGAAATGTCTATCACATCACAGAAGTCCATAGCAATCATAAAATATCATTGGTTTGATTTTCTAACCGGTAACCATGTCAAGTTTTAATACATTAATCGCTCCACCTGATCAAGTCATTGAAAACAAACACGGAAGGAGTGAAACTTCCTCCTCCTTACAGAATTTTCAGAGAGAACATAAGAATCATAAATCCGCCAGTAAAACCAGGCCTACTGTTTGGCACTTGAGAAAATTGAGCAGCAAACAAAAGCGGCGAAATCGCTTTAAGGCGGCGGATTCCCAGGAAACAACAGTAGAAATTCTTCGCGTGAAGCACGAAAAGCTGCAATCGTCCTCCAGATTAAGAACAGTTTCTAGACTAGAGTCGCTTTAAGGCGGCGAAATCGTTGCAGCAACTTGCTGAAAACCTATCAAATGCTGAAATTCTACTCCATGTCTCCATGACGCTAAAATTTTCCCGAGAAACAAACAGAAAATGTTTTACCTTGAAGAAAAACCCTCGCGAAGACCGGAGAGGTCCGAAGACGACGCTCGGAGACATTATAGACGCCATGTAATCTTTGCCTTTGTTCTTCCCGACAGGGCGACGCACTGCACTGATGCTCTTTTACCCCCCCCCCCCCCCCCCCTGAATTTTGTTTTTTAAAATAATGGATAGAAAACCCTCCCAATTTGACCAGATTAATTTGTTTGTCATTAATCTTAACTATTCCTTATATGTATTTTACAGTTATACCCCAATTGGTTTTACATAATAACCATTCTATATTTCCTCCATAACATTAAAACATTTTGGTTCGCAATGATTTTTCCAATAAATTTATTAGTCTTACGTTTTTCTGTATTTCACATTTTTGCTTTTATAAAACTAAACACCTACGAGTGTTTCTGTTCACTTCTTACTTGTGATTTTAAATTGGATTATTCTGTTAATATGGTCCAAAAAAATTATAACTAAAAATTGGTAGTAGAGTAATTATTTTCTTTTTGCAAATTGCAAATTCTATTTCATCTTGCACTTTTGAAAGTAGTTTTGATATTTTAATAACTGAAATCAGTTACTTTTAAAAAATTATATTATGATGCTTTTTTCCCCCCCCCCCCTCCCCCACAGCTCAAGAAATACGACGCCGTCTTGATAGAATCAAGATATCTATTTTGATTAAATTGTGTAAGTTAATCACAACATTTTCCCATAATTGCCCTCTTGACAATTTAACCCTTCAAAATTTAAATGTACTACAGGTAAACACGGACAGTAGCATTTTGTAGCCATTCCAGATCGGATTATTTTAATTAATAATAAATTCGTTAAAATAATAATAAAATTATAAGTGAGGAAATATTTTTTAAAAATCATAATTATGCAATATTGGCGAAGTAGCAAACAATGATTATGAGATAATATCAAATAATAATTTGAAATATCTCATTTAAGTTTTAAGGAAATTTATTGAAACGAAGTTAGATTTATATGATTTAAATTAATACAATTGTAATTGAACCCTTATGTGATAATTAATTTTTTCGGGACATTACTGCAACTATATAAACTTAATGGCCCACAAATCATCGAAGCGGATTCTGCGCCGTCAGATTCAATCTTATAACTCCCCTCCCCTTAACCAATCAATTATTTTCATTTTCCCACTGACTTTTTGTTTCTATCACTTTCACCCTCATAATGAGCATCGCATACATTATTTCCCCTCTCGTAGTGAACGTATTTTCGTTTATAGTTTAATATATATTGACACCGTCGAACACGACTTTCTTTGATTTTATTTTTTTTTGTTTTATTCTAATAGTAAATTTTTGAATCCTGAAACTAAAAATCCATTAAATGTAATATATATATATATATATATTTATATTTATAAATGTAACTGGAAAAGATCAGCATAAGGGAAAAAGGAAAATTGAATGACTAAAACTTGAAAAAAGGACAATCATCAAGTTTTCATCGGCATATCCATCTAGTCAAAGGGCATAATTATTCAAATGAAGAAGATTCTCGCATCACAAAATTTCAAAAGGCACTGTTACAATACCTTTATTAATGTTAATTTTTACATATAAGAAAACGATAGTTTTATATTTTGATGTCATATAAATTATTTTTTATAAAAATATTGTTGATTAAATAAAATTTATATAAAATAAAAAAATATAATAGAATTTTATAAGAAAATATTCAAATATATCATTTATAAAACATGATATATGATACTTTAGTATAAACTAAAAATAGAAAAACCACCTATTGATATACAAATAAATAATAATTTTATGTTTTTAGTTTCTACATAAATAAAAATTTTATATTTTGATATCTAAATAAATTATAATTAAACCATCTCACTCTTACATAAATATTATACATTGTATAGTATTTTATTCAATACTAATATATACTATATATATTTGAATATTTTTTATAAAATTATATAACTTTTTTTGATAATGGTGTATGATAAAAATATCATCTATCTAAATATTTAAATATATATTTTCTATTAAGATAATTTTTTTTATCAATCACCATCTAAATACTAAAATACATAATTGGGTTTTTAGTTTTCTTGGTAATCTACCATTTAAAATTTGATGGTTAACTTTTTAAAAAAAACATCATATCACATTTCTCATTTCATTAAAAAAAGTTGCCAAAAAATATAGAAATAAATAACAAAAATATATAATAAAAAACTAATGTATTGAAATTAAATTTGATAATTTAATAGTCAATATTTATTTTGAATTGTGATTCCAATTTTCTATTTATACATATATGTTGACTCAATTTTCTTTATAAATTTTCTAAATCAACTAATAGTCTTTTAATTTTATTTATATATTAATTAATTTCATGGTAATATTTTTCTAATTCGACCTCCACATTAAACTTTTATTTATAGGCAATTATATATAGTTAAATGAATTATAATTCTTTCCAAATTCAATATATTTTTAAAAATAATGAGATATAATTTTGCTAATTAACATTTTTAATAAAGAATTCTAATCAAACTTCCAAAAGAAAAAAAATATAAATTAGAAAAATAAGGAATAAAAACATAACACGCATTAGTACGAACAAGCTAGAGATTGATAAAAAAAAAAATCTTTTTGTCAACGGTTATATATGTATATATACATATATATACCGTAAGGAAAATGTTTTCGCGAAAGAAAAATATATTTATATATAACTAAAAAAACAAAAAACTCATTTCTCTGCACTTCTTTGCCCTCAGATTCTTCGCCTGCAGAGACCACAACATCATCCCAAGATCCAAACAATGCTATCTTCACTCTTTGAAATTAGGGTTTTCTCCGACAACTTTTTTAATCCGTAATTTCTTTTTCAGTTCGTATCAATCCCATTGAAATTGCCCCGTGCTCTTCGTTATCGTTGAGGTCTCTAGTCCTGTCCCGGCTGCGAAATTAAGATCAGTGCACGAATTCATCGGACCAGCCCTCGAACTTTCCTGTGGTGTTTTATCCTTAGTTGACTCTCGCTGATCGTTCCGGGCTGAGCTTTTGGGTTTCCATGTTCGACGTAGAGGAATTTTCATGGCTAGGGTCAGATTTCGGTAGCTTTTTCTCGTTGTAGGTCGTGATTCGGGTTTTTGGGGTTTTTGGTTTCTTGTAGCTTCGGTTTATGTGGGTTTCATTTAATTCAGTTTCTCTGCATGTTTAAGCCTTGAGGGGCCCTCTGCTAGGGTCGTGGAGGAGCCCTGTTGAACTCGGAAGTTGCTCCAGGTTTCATTCTTCAAAGGGTTCCTTCTCTGACGAGTCAAAAAGTCAGCTGAAATAAGTCAATCGGGGGTTTCTAGGAGCTAGTTTCTTTGGATTGTTGTCGTATTGTAACTTTATAAACATTTTGGGGATGTTTGGTTCTACATCGGATAATAGCCGTGGAAACATCAGTTCATCAGGGCAAATTCTCACTCCGGTGCGTTTCTTTTGGCCCCATGGGGGGAGAAGGGTATTTCTTAGTGGATCCTTCACCAGGTGAGATGACTAAGATAGAAGCTTGACCTATTTGTGGGTACTTCTACTCTACTTGATAAATAGGTTCCGATGTAATATTTACCGTTTTTTTTCTGCATGGATTGATTGTTGAGATGGGAATGTGAACAGGTGGACGGAACATGTACCAATGTCGCCAATGGAGGGCTGTCCTACTGCTTTTCAAGTCGTTTGCAACTTGGCGCCAGGATATCATGAGGTTAGTTAGCGTTTGACTTAACCATTTTTTCATGATTTAATCTTTTTTGTAGTAACGTCTACTGCCTTTTTTTCTCGCAAATGATGGTGTCTCTCGTTGAACATGAAATTGCCATATTAAGTCACTAGATGCATAACCGATGAAGTATGTGTGAGCATCATGAATACTTTCATCACAATTTGTTTACTTTTCCAGCCGGTAAGATAACCCATTGAAAACCTGTGATACATGGTAGCATCATTAAACAGGGTTTGTTGTCGGAGCATTGGGAACTAGGTGTATCTTAGCCTCAGTAAACTTAACGGTTGAAGCTGAACATTAAGTTGTTCTGTTTGGCTTTGATGGTAATAAAGTTTGCAGATAAGTTGAAAATGAAGAAATGAACATTGTATAATTGTTGTAACATCCTTTGGGCAACATATTAGTGTTAACTCTAGTGATTGATGTCCTGTTATAGAGGGCGGTGAATCTTATCGTCAATTTTTAGCAGAACATGCCTTCTTTTTTGTATGACCACATATTAGGAAAATGTTTTCCAACATGTTACTGGTTTTTCTTGATTCTTCAAAAGACCCTGAATATTCCATCAAAGGCCCTTTTTGTTCTCTCAAGTTCTTAAACTGTGAGAGTGCCCTTCATGGTACCAAATATTTAACATATTAAAATTTGCAATTTGATATGTGGGTTGCGTGATATGGTTTTGTTATTTCCTTTTCTTTAATGATTTTAACGATTATTAACCTACTTATTTTATACTTCGCTGTCCATATCACACAATAGTCCATAGAATTTTCTTATGGGAAACAGGTAGTAAAGAGGTTTGGTTATGTTGGCAGTCGAATGAAGTATTTCTATCACGTGTCCTTACTAAGACACACTGAACTTAAGATGCTATTGTATCAAGGTTGTCATGATGTTCAATTATTTATATCTTGTGCAGTATAAATTTTGTGTTGATGGAGAATGGAGGCATGACGAGCACCAGCCTTTTGTAACTGGAAGTGGTGGAGTAGTCAATGCAATAATTATTGCTGGGGGACAGGATATGGTGCCCATAGGTTTGAACACAGAGACTCTTGGCCGCTCGAATATGGAAGTCGATGATGTTGTCATGCGAATGGTAAGCAAACCTTCTACTTGTATGCAAAAAAATATAACGTTTCAGATATGTTTTGTTACCTATAATCTTAATTTAGTATTGGTTATCTTAATTGTAGCTTTTGTATTTAGATTATGGTTTTTTTTTTATATTTTTCCCAGCCAATTTTACCCATTGTTGTTTGATAATTTTCACGATTCTTTCCCATGATAGGCTTTAGAAGTTGAAGTAAACTTTAAGATGGAAATATAAAAATTTGTCCAAAAACGGAAAAAAGTTTAGATCTCTTATGCATGAGAAAGGAAGAATTCATGGAGATAGGTATTAGTTTATTTTCTAATAAGCTAAAAAATCTTTCATCACCAAATGCTGTGCAACTTATTGTGTTCTTTTTTTAATTTATATGGTGACTTCAGTTGTGTCTGAATGGTGTTGCACATAAAAGATCCTGTAAGGCTCTCTGTAACAGAGATGATCACAATACATGTTGGTGATGATTTAGCTGTCCTCCAATCTGACCACAAGCCACTATGTATTGTATGGAATGACTCATTTTTACCTTATACGTGGGAACCAATAATTAAAGTAACTTTTCAAGAGTGTACAAACCTAGTTATAGTAACAGGGAATTCAAAAATGGATAACCTACGGGGAATGATTCATAATAAAGCAAAATCCATTTTAGTTTTTGTTGCCTGATGTCTGCGAAAATTCTATTTCAGAATTTTCTGGAAAGAAACAATGCATATAAAACCTATTTGGAAATAAAAAAATTTGCTGTGTCCAGTTTAATGATTTATTGGACTAAATCTTGTGGTAGATTTTTAGGTCAAGTTGCCACCACTTGGAAATATTGGGATGTTGAAGATGCTCTCTTCAGTTTTTCTCAGTATATCTGTTTTATCTTGTTAATGTTATTAATAGATAAAGGGCAGCCCAGTGCACAAAGCATCCCGTTGATCGGGGTCCGGGGAAGGGTTCCACCACAAGGGTTTATTGTAGGCAAACCTTACCTTGCAGAATATTCTGCAAGAGGCTGCTTCTAGGACTCGAACCCGTGACCTCTAGGTCACAACGGCAACACCTTAACCGTGCGCTAAGGCTCCCCTTCAATGTTATTAATAGATATATAGTTTATTTGACACGTCGGACTACTCAAGCTTCTTAAAACTGTCTGTTAATGATTCTGATATGTAGTTACAATCCGATGATCATATTCTGTTTCCAGAATTAACATCTGAAAAGCTTTTTTAGCTTCTGAATGCTTTTACATGGTGGTCGGAATGTAGGGCAATCCATCCCAGGATTTCATTCCTAGGATGTCGAGGGCTGACGTGGAGGTTTCTCGTCACCGTATATCCGAGTTCTTGTCAAAACATACTGCGTATGAGCTACTTCCGGAGTCTGGAAAGGTCTTTGCTTTTCCTTTTTTCTTATGATATGGTTCAATCAGGAAAATAATAGAATTATCCATGAAATAGCTTCTGGATTTTTGCTGTAATTACCTAAGGTGGGCTGGTCTTTGTACAGGTGATTGCATTGGATGTTAATTTACCTGTGAAACAAGCATTTCACATACTCTATGAGCAGGTATTTTCTTTTTACTAATGCATCATCTTCAATTGATCTCGTCTCAAGTTCTGCTTTCTTTATTTCTCGTTGTCACGTACATGCTAATGTTGTTGCATTCAGAGCCGTCAGAGGAAACAAATGAAAATTTTAAAGTATATTCCCATGTCAATTCAGTTCGATATTGTCTGGCTTTTTTGTTTATGCTAATTCCAGCTGTTTTCAGGGAATCCCTTTAGCTCCTCTCTGGGACTTTAGTAAAGGCCAATTTGTTGGAGTTCTTGGTCCACTGGACTTCATCCTCATACTGAGAGAGGTTGGTAAACATGTATTCTGAAAGTCATATCTCATAAGAATTCTGAATTCTGCCTATCTGCTCCTTCTTAAAGTTCTTTGTATCAATAACATATACACCATATCGTTGTTCGATTAGCCATAAATCTGAGCTTATAAGCAACCCCGCCATGTTTAATCTCTTCTCCTGGAAATATACAAGGAAACTGTTGACTTGGTCATTTATTAGGAGCATTACGGCTTTTGGTATCTGATATTTTTTTTGGCATTAGGTGGCCGCTGTGTTTTCATTAGATATTAAGAGGAGACATCGTTGTTTTCTTTTATATGGAGGTTTTATCAGACATCATTAGTAGTAACTTAACCGACGGGGCTAATGATTCTACAGTGAAATTCACAGTAGTTCAGCTGCTTTTGCCTTAGCCAGGAATTCGGTTTGCAGGTCCTTTTAGTAGATATACTTAATTTCGTGTATTACCCAACGCGGGATGCACATACATCATTGTGGATTATCTATAGCTGTTCTACTATCATTCTAAATAGGGCATGCCATTATTGGGTGATAATGGTAACTTCATGAAATTGCAGCTGGGAACTCATGGATCAAATTTGACAGAGGAAGAGCTTGAGATGCACACAATAGCAGCCTGGAAAGAAGGAAAGGCACATATTAGTAGACAACTTGATGGAAATGGGAGACCGTACCCTAGGCCTCTTGTTCAAGTGAGCATTTTTCTTTGGTTTTATTGAGCTATTTGTGTGAACTTACAGCTTTCCGTTGCACAATCTTTTTTTTTTTTTTTGATAAAGCCGTTGCACAATCTTTCTTCCTTGTGAAACTGTGTGACTTATCTATTTATTTATTTAATCGTAATCTAAGTACTTATATTGTCAAGGGTTGTAGCTTATGATGATGTAGATATATGCACGTAGATATTTATACCTAGGTACTAAACGTGAAATGCATGGGAGACACTGATGCTGTTGCTACTATTGCTGACAGTGTTTAGTTTTTTTAATTTCCTTTAAATAAATCGTCTTCTAGCTAACTTGTATTTTTAAAGGTTGAACTCGAAACATTTTTTTTTAACATTTTCTTGTGTTTAACCTGGTTTTAAAAGTAAAAGGAGAATGCAAAATGCTTAAGATGGACTCATCCACCACATTTGGGATTGAAATACATGCTTGGTGTATCTGCCTGTTTGTTTTCCATTCCATCATGCTTAATGATGTTTTCTCTTTGGCAGGCTAGGCCATCTGACTATCTAAACAATGTTGCCAAGAAAATTTTGGAAAACAAGGTGGCAACAGTCCCGATTATACATTCTTCTTCATCGGATGATTCATATCCGCAGTTATTGCATCTGGCTTCACTATCCGGCATATTAAAATGTAAGATCCTTTCATCGTGTGATTTTTGACTTAGAAGCATCGATAAGCTACAAATACACGAGATGCTCTAAAAAGGAAAGTTAGACGAGGTAGAGACCAAATTGACAAAACAAATTATTTTCCAATTTCCAGTCATATTTTGCTTTGATTTCTGATATTTTCAGTTAGGTTTATATTTTCTGAAAATTGGAGACGTTATAGGTTTTGTTAAAAAAATTTGCTTATTTTTAGGCATGTAAGCTCTAAAAAAGCATTATCTGCAGGCATATGCAGATACTTTAGGAATTCTTCTAGCTCACTGCCCATCCTCCAGCAGCCCATTTGCTCAATCCCCCTGGGTACTTGGGTTCCTAGTATTGGAGAATCGACTAGCAGACCTCTGGCAACATTGAAACCACATGCCTCTTTGGGTTCAGCTCTCTCATTGCTTGTTCAAGGTAACATTTTTTTTGCACCCTTTTTATTGTAATATGCTTCAGAATCTATCAGTGACTTAAGAACTAAACCATAAATTCTAATTTGATTTCAATATATAAACTTTAATTATAGATTTATATATAATCTGAAACTGCCCATATAACCCTCTTAGTTTTTCCTTGACCTATTTTGTTGAACCCAAGGTGTTGACAAAGCACCATATGTGTGCAAATTCAGACACCATCCAAACGCAACAATCTTTATTGTAGTCAGTGGCACCCCTGTAAATCAGATCCGACAAACTCAGATTCAGATTTGCATTAACTAAACAAGTTTTCTACATTAATTTGTATTAGAGAAACATTATAGAACCCCAGTTATCTAACAATTTCGGATCTTGTAATTTGATTTCATATATTGGAAATTGGGTAACACGCCAAGATGGATAAGGATTTTAAAAAAGTTTTACAAATTCCAGTTCTGGAAATACATTGGCGGTATGCATAGAGAAACATCTGGTAATCTACATCATAATTAATGTTTTAGGTTAAAACTGAGTTCCCTGCGTAAATCAGCTTTTGTAGTATGCATTGCATGAAAGAGCCCACAGATTGAAACGTACGGTTTAGTCTTGCTTCGATCAGGTCGATCTCATCTTTAACGTGTGGTGTAATTTTTTCTATTTTACAGCTGAAGTCAGCTCGATCCCGATAGTTGATGACAATGACTCGCTGATAGACATATACTCTAGAAGGTAAACCTCATGCCACATATCTGCATGGCCTGCATTTTTCCAACCCTTTTAAAGTCGGTCAGTTCTGATTTGTATTTTGATATCAGTGATATAACTGCTCTGGCCAAAGATAAGGCGTATGCACAGATTCATCTCGATGACATGACTATTCACCGGGTAAATTCTGATGGATACACCTTTAATCTGATCCATCTTTTTTTCACTGGTTTAGTCGATTGTAATCAGCCAACATTTAAGCTATTGGCAACTAGAGGCTTGAATCTAGGAGAAATTCTTGTGGATGCTTCCTACTGCTGAAATTAATGCTTTTTTTTTTTGTTTTGACGAATTGGGTCAAAAGAAAAAGGCGAGTTTTTTAGTTTTATAAATTATTTTCTCACACTGGCAGATTTTTTTTTCTTGAGATTTATGAATTATACATTTTGTTATGTATATGGCAACACATGTTTTCAGGCTCTACAACTTGGTCAAGATGCATATCCGCTTTATGGCTTCGTCAATGGGCAGAGATGTCACATGTGCTTGCGCTCAGATTCTCTCCAGAAAGTGATGGAACGATTGGCCAATCCTGGTATTTATTTCTTCTGAAACTGTGATTTTTTGAGTATGAACCCATGAAAATTTTCTTATGAATCTACGTACGTGCATGCATTCACGTCTTTATCTATATATATGCTCATGCGTAATATAAGGTGTATTGGTAAAAGTAACTTTTGTCTGTAATTATTGTCAGTAGGATCGTTTAATAACATTCACCATCTCTTCGATACATTGAGATAATAGAGAGCCTGGACTGATTTCATTTGTTTCCAATGGTTGGTTTATTGTAAGTAGTAAAATCCAGTGTTATATATTGGGATTTTTGTATCAACTACCATTATTCTGTGTGACATTGAAAAAACGACGTGTAGGATCTGATAGGATCTTGTGACTGTCATTTAGGGTTTTGTGAAGCTCGTCGCTTACACAACATATGCTGCACATCCACATACACATACACATACACACACATACACACACATGCACATATACATACACCATTGGTGCAGCATAAGATGCATGCACGAGGGGCACATTCAGAAGAAGTGGTTTCCTAAGGAAACGTTGTGTTTATGAGTACAGGGGTTAGGAGGCTGGTGATTGTGGAGCCCGGGAGCAAGCGCGTTGAAGGCATTATTTCGGTTAGCGATGTCTTCAGATTTCTGCTCGCTCTATAAATCTTCCAGCGAACCAACCCAACTGTCCCGGTTTCCTTAAAACACAAAAAAAAAAAAAAAAAAAAAACTGAAAAAAAATTGATGTTTCAATTTTTTTTTTTTTTTTTTTTTTTTTTTT